TGATGCAGAGCGCAGGCTTTGGAGCTAGAGTGCAGGGGTTAAGATCCGGCTCCACTGCACCTGGCTCTATGACCTTGAACAAGTTACATCCTGTGCCTTGCTTTCCTCATCAGTTAAAAGTAGGGTTCTTAAAGTATTTATTTGATACATTAATATGTAAACACTATATGTATTAGTTGACATTAAGGTTATTATGGTTATAGTAATGATAATTATTTATAATAACTGAGTGAAATAAGTGAAATATTCAAATGAGAAATAAAAACAGTTGTCAAATATCTCAGTGTTTGTTCTGTATGTAGTGTCCCAAATTGAGTTGCATAAACATTCTGTATGTATTTGTGTGTGTATGTATGGCAAGAGTTTAGATCTCTCTATAAAATAACCAAGACTGAGTACACACAAATGTCTTCTGCTTGGAATTTAATTGATCTGGGTCTTTTCTTATACTTCAGCTGAAAAGGTTCATCTGTATTGTTTTAAGATGTTTGTCTCAAAATAGATCACTAGTGCTAATAACTAATACTGCAAGAATTTCAGTGTATCAGAGAGTTCCGGCGAAGATGGAGGCATAGGCATAAATGCTTCACTTCCTTGCATAATCAAAGGAAGGATAACAACCAATTAAAAAATAACTGCCAGAACTGCCAGAAAATCAAACTGCATGGAAGTCCAGTAATCAAGGAGTTAAACATTCATCCAGGCTGGTAGGAGGGGCAGAGATTGGGACAGAGAGGATGCGAAGCAAGGTGGCAGACCAGGGGGTGAGTGTAACCCCACATTCGCATGGAAAAGAGGGGAAGAACAATTGGGGAGGGAGACAGACTGCTGAAACTTTGAGTGAGAGAAGCTGAAAACTCAAAAACTCTGGCTATAAAATCCTCTGGGGGTTGTGGTGGTGGGAGAAACCCCCAGTCACACAGGAGAGTCTGTTGGAGAGGCCCACAGGGTTTTAGAATGTACACAAATGCACCCACCTATAAATCAGCACCTCAAAGGGCACAATCCTCTTGTAGAAAGTGAGGGACAAGAGCAGAGCAAGTGGCATTGTTCTCTTTCTGACCCCTCACCCACAGTCAGCACCACAACACAGCGAATAGGGTTGCCTGGCCCTGGCGAATACCTAAGGCTCCATCCCTTACAATAAAACAGGTGGCCCAAATGAAAGAACAGATCAAAACTCCAGGAAAAAAGCTAAGCAATGAAAATAGATAGCCTACTGATGCAGAGTTCAAAACACTGGTGTTCACGATGCTCACAGAATTGATTGAGCTCAGTTGCAAAATGAAGAAATGAAGGCTATACAAAGAGAAATGAAGGAAAATATACAGGGAACCACCATTGATGGGAAGGAAACCAGGACTCAAATCAATGATTTGGAACAAAAGGAAGAAATAAACATCCAACCAGGACAGAATGAAGAAACAAGAATTCAAAAAAAATGAGGAGAGGCTTGGGAACCTCTGGGACAACTTTAAACATTCCAACATGGAATCATAAGGGTGCCAGAGGGATAAGAGGAAGATCAAGAAATTGAAAACCTATTTGAACAAATAATTAAGGAAAACTTCTCCAATCTGGCAAAGGAAATAGAATTCTCAGAAGTACTGGAAAGTTAGAGAGTCCTAAAGAAACTGGACCCAAGGAGGAATATACCAAGGCACCTCATAATTACATTACCTGAGATTAAAGATAAGGAGAGAATCTTAAAAGCAGCAAGAGGAAAGGAGAGAGTTAGAGCAAAACTCCAGGAAAAAAGCTAAGCGATGAGAAGATAGCCAACCTATCTGATGGAGAATTTAAAGCCCTGGTAATCAAAATGCTCACAGAACTAACTGAGCTTGGTCAAAAAAATGAAAGAACACACAAAAGATACCCAAAATGAAATAAAGCAAAATACTCAGGGAACCAACAGTGACAGGAAGGAAGCCAGGACTCAAATCAACGATTTGGAGCAAAAGAAAGAAATAAACATCCAACCAGAACAGAATGAAGAAACAAGAATTTAAAAAAAATGAGGAGAGGCTGAGAAACCCCTGAGACAGCTTGAAACACTCCAACATCCAAATCATAGGGGTGCCAGAAGGAGCACAACAGCAAGAAATTGAAAACTTATTTGAACAAATAATGAAGGAAAACTTCCCCAATCTGGCAAAGGAAATAGACTTCCAGGAAGTCCAGGAAGCCCAGAGAGTCCCAAAGAAGTTGGACCCAAAGAGGAACACATCAAGGCACCTCATCATTAAGTTACCCAAGATTAAAGACAAAGAGAATCTTTAAAGCAGCAAGGAGAAAGGAGACAGTTACCTACAAAGGAGTGCCCATAAGACTATCAGCTGATTTCTGAAAAGAAACCTTTCAGGCAAGAAGGGGCTGGAAAGAAGTATTTGAAGTCATGAAAGGCAAGGACCAATCCAAGATGACTCTATCCAGCAAAGCTTTCATTTAGAATGGGAGGACAGATAAAGTGCTTCCCAGATAAGGTCAAGTTAAAGGAGTTCATCATCACCAAGCCCTTATTATATGAAATGTTAAAGGGACTTATCTAAGAAAAAGAAGAAGATCTAATACTATGAATAGTAAAAGGACAGCAAACTCACAACTATCAGCAACTAAACCTAAAAAACAAAAACTAAGCAAACAACTGGAGCAGAAGCACAGAAACAGATCACATGGAGGGTTATTAGTGGGGATGAGGAGGGAGAGAGTGGGGGGAAGGTACAGGGAATAAGATACATAATTGGTAGGCATAAAATAGACAGGGGGAGGTTAAGGGTAGTATAGGAAATGGGGAAGCCAAAGAACTTATATGTACAACCCATGGACATGACAGGTTGTCCCCCAGAGGGGCGAGGTGGGGCAGGGGTGCTTGAAGGAAGTGGGTGCAGGGAGGAGGGAGATAATTGGGGACAACTGTAATAGCATAATCAATAAAATATACTTAAAAAAAGAATTTCAGTGTATGAGCAGCTTCATAACCCAGACTTGCTATCTTTTATATATTATCACCAAGTATCAAGGTTTAGAACTCTAGTTACTGAGGAGTAGCCACAATGGTTGAAGTGTGTACCTAGCCCTGATTCAGGAAATTGCTAACTGGTCTTATCTTTAGTGGCTACAGGATAGTTTTCCAACCACTCCCTTTCTTGACCTTCTTCCTCTCCCTTTCTTTTTCTTCTGCTTGTGCTTCCCTGTTATGTTCCCATATGCATTTAGCATGCACACATACAGCTCCAGGTATTCCAAACCAATTTCCAGTCTCCACATGTGCCATGCTGCCTCTTGCTCCTCTACTATTGCACAGGCTGCTTGCTCTGTCTAGACATCTTTTCCCTTTTGGCCACCTGACTGTGCCTTATCGTTACTTTAGTCTGAGCTTGGACATCATTTTTGAGAAGTCTTCCCTAATTTCCATCACCTTCTTGCATGTTGCTTTATGATTCTGTTTTTACTTGCTCCTCTTCCCTACTAGCCTGTCAGTTCCTTTTTTGTAACTGCCTGGTCTTGACAGCTTCTAGCAAATGCTTGGAATATGGTAGGTGCTCAGTAGTTGTCCACTGACTGAACAAATGAATGGGTGTATTTATGTATGAAAATTTAAAATAATTTGTATCAGTAAAGGAGGGTAGCCTTAATAGGTCTAAACAAAATAAGTATAAGGTGAATCAACCAGTTACTTTTAGATAAAAATAGAAAAATTTTTGCAGTTTTATAATTGCCCAGTATTTGGCCATGACCAGTGTGGGTCAGCTGGTTGGGCATTGTCCTACAAAGTGAAAGTTTGCCTGTTTGGTTCCCTGTCGGGGCGCATGCCTGCATTCCGCGTTCGGCTTCCCGTCAGGGCATGTATGAGAGACAGGTGATTGATGTTTCTCTCACATGGATGTTTGCCTCCCTCTCTTTCTTCCTCCCTTCCCCTATCTCTAAAATGAAATAAAAATCTTATAAAAATACAAATAAAATTGCACAGTATTTGGCCTAAAGTTGTATATTAAAGGTGATTTTATTTGCATTGATGTAGCAGCCGAAAGTGACCGCTGTAGTTGTTGAAAAGGTTTTAGATCTGATGAACAGGGATAAGAAATGAATATCATAAAAGCAAACTTTCTGTATTTTAGGTTTCTATTAAGGTAATAATAAAACATTGCATATAAATAAATAGTATGAATATACCCAAATAAATAGACATAATAGTAAATAATGAAATGCTCTTGGAACTGTAGAATTCTTCCTCTATGTACTATACATTTATAGCACATAAGTAACCATATCATTCATAGTTTATCTTTTTCTCTTGGCCTTTTTCTTTTTGTGTGAGTTAATCAAATCTTTTATTTTCTCCTGGTATCAGTCTGATGTGAATCTTAAAGTCAGAAAGGTGATGCAGTCATTATTTTATAGAACAAATTCATTTTTGGAAATCGTAGGGTGTATGTGTGTGGATACCCTGAATAAGTACTTATTAATTACTTTCATTGGAATAGGAGTTACTTTAGAAGTTAGCTTGCAAAGTAAAGCCTACAATTCAAGGATTCTTTGGTTATGCCTTTTGTAGGTGATGACAATTTACTATGTGCTAGGTGCTGCTCTGAGCACTTGAGATGAATAACATCCTCCTATGGGAGCAAGTCCTCTTAACGATCCTGTGTTACAGATGAAGGAACAGATGAGAGGTTAAGAATTGAGTCCAGTGTAACAGCACAGTGGCAGTGCTGGGCTCTGGCTGCAGAGCCCATGCCCTTGACCATGCTGTTAGGCTGCTTCTCAGACCCATTCACTCTGCTTCTTCCTCACACCCACTGTTCTGTACGACCCTGAACGTTGTTGTCATGATGTTAGTACTTTTTCATTTTTTTCTGTGTAATGAGAAAAGCGTTCATTTTTTGCATGAGGAATTTCTTACATTATGTGGTATAAATTAAGGAGCATGAAGGTTAGTTTACAAAGTTGTATTCTTTGTATCAAGAATTTATGTGTCCACCATTTAAATTCTTGAATAGATGTTGCTGTCGGAGCTCCACAAGAAGATGACTTGCGAGGCGCTATTTATATTTACAATGGCCGAGCAGATGGGATCTTACCAACCTTCTCCCAGGTAGGAGGAGACAATTCTATTTTCAAAAGAAGCATTGGCAATAAAAGCTTCTTTAAATTTTCTATTGTTAATGTGGACTTATTTTTCTTAATTTTCACATTCAAATACTTAATATTCTGTTCCACCATTTTTTATCATTACAATACATGGTCTTATTTTTAACAGCAATAATAAGTCTTTGGAACCATTTTTTTCCATAAATAAGAGTTCTAGGTCACTTTCATTCCAGTTTGTCTTTAACCTATTAAAGATTTCTCTCTGCATTTCATTAAATTTATGTTCTGAGGTAATATCTGTACGATTCCAAATAAGCCCATTTGGATTTGATTAACTGTGTCCTGTCCTGTGGCTGAAGTCCCATGTTTTATGGAGATCGCACAGGGAGAGCAGACACACATAGGATACTCCGTGTTCCTTTCGCTGCAAAGCAGTGAGGCAATAGCACTTTAATAAGGTTCTCTGATCTAACTCTGACTTCACTTTCATGTTTTGAAACACAGGCCATTTCAATGCATAGAAAATAGCTACATACACATGCAGAGAAGAAAAGCTTTTCCAAAGATACTTTTATGGAAACATTAGTTATACTGTTATATCTGATTGGATAAAAATAGGCAGGTGGCTTTTCATATTTAACATGAAAGGTATGCATTTGTCTGCTAAAAAAATACTGATTTTTCTAAATATGGGTAGCAGCCTGTTACTTATAAATCACCATCTAGACATGAAGTCAGACACACAGGATAGGAAGCACTTAACTTGAGTTGTCCTTATCAAACTCCGTGAAGCAATCTGGCTAGATAGGGTGGCTCTCATCATAAGCCTAAGTTAGAGGCTCCACTAAGTGATCAGAAATGTCTTATTTTCCAGATTACTTGTTTGCTAATTCATGTTGGTCAGAGAAGTCAATACACAGCTTGAAAGAAGACTGGGGAAAGGGGTCAGGACTGTCATGAAAAATCTGTACTATGTCATTTCCCTTTGCTCACAAAGTAAAGTAATTTTTTTCTTATCAAGAAATATTTGTCAACTACCCACTGAAAGCTGGAAACATTTGTTTCTCTTAGGTACAAGTATTTGACTTAACTAAAGTTTTGTTCATAAATGTGCCAGGGCATCAGAAGGCTTATTTTTAACTAAATCATTATTTCCCTGAGACATTAGGAATTCAAAAGCACTTCTCACTCAGCTTGTCTATTTTTCAGAGAATTGAAGGGCTTGAAATCAGCAGATCCTTAAGTATGTTTGGACAGTCTATATCTGGGCAGATTGATGCAGATAATAATGGGTATGCAGGTGAGTATAAAATTTACCTTATTTTATATATAAGCTCTATTGTGGATGAGGCTTTACTGAGAAGTACATAGATGGCATGGAAGAGTTCTAATTTACTGATAAATTTTTCTCCTTCATTTTTGAAGCTTTTCTTGAATTCAAGGATGGGTCTGAAATGATCAAGTAATTCCTGAGTTTTACACTGTCAGTTATTTATTATTTTATTCCCTGTTCTTTAAAAAATTTAAAGCACCCATAAAAGTACATGTAAATGAAACACATGGTGATGAAAAGAAAGGAGTTTCTTTTTGTGTGTGTATTTGAAAGATTTCTGGGTGAATATTTCTAGTTAAAAAATAGGATTTTCATTTTATATCAAAAAGTTTATGTTTAGGAACAAGTATAAAGGACACATGGACAAAAACTAGAGAGGGTGGAAATGGGAGGGAGGTGGGGAAGGCTGTGGGGGTGGGCTGGGATGGGAGTGGAGGACAGAACTGTACTTGAACAATTTAAAATAAAATTTAAAAAAGTTTATGTTTATATTATGTTATAAATGGATTAATGTCATTGTAATTGAGTAAATTCAGACAAATGTGGAATGAGTCCTAAGATGTAAGCATATTTTTTCTAAGTAATTTTCTATAAATAGTGTTTTGGTATTGTCGAAAGGTGATATGTAGTTAAGTATTTCTGACTGAAAAGTAATTATTTTTGACTAATAGTGATAACTAATCCATGTTGTTTTTTGTCCACCAGATGTAGCAGTCGGTGCTTTTCGGTCTGATTCTGTGGTGTTGCTAAGGTAAGGTTGATACATTTCACTGCTTAGTGACAATTGGGCTTAATTGTAAAGGATGGGAGGCAATTTTTAAAATCAGTGGTGGTGACCTCATAATGTTCTTTTTGGTATTCTGAGATTTAATTGTTTGAACTTTACCCACCTTACAGAGATATAATTAATATAATCAGACAAAGTCAACATTTTTAGAAATTTAAATGAAAGTTCCTCTTAATTCAGGCATGGAAATTTGATAGAGTTTATGTGCACATAATCTCAATAAAGCAGTTTCATGAAATTACATGGTCAATGGAAACTGACAAACAAATGCAATTCTTTCCTAAGGAAAAATAATTCTGTAATTAATATTACTAATTTCATTTCCTCCTTAGGACAAGACCTGTACTGATTGTTGAAGCTTCTTTAAACCATCCTGAGTCAGTAAATAGAACAAATTTAGACTGTTTTGAAAATGGATTGCCTTCCGTGTGCATGGAGCTAACACTCTGTTTCTCATACAAGGGCAAAGAGGTTCCAGGTTATATTGGTAAGGGTGCCCTTACAAAATTAATAGAGTGTGTACTTTACTCATTAATCTTGAAATCATCTTTGGAGCCCTCACTGTGCTTCACCAGGGAGGGCTGCCTCAGCAGGAAGAGAGCCTGGTAACACATCTCTCTTCCCCGTCTTTCAGATCCTCTCGTTATTCTGCCTGATGAGTGGGGCACATTAAGAGGCTCCAGTTGTTTAGAGGTTATATGATAAGAAGCAAATCAAGCCCTGGCTGGTGTGGCTCAGTGAACTGAGTTCGATTCCCAGTCAGGGAACATGCCTGGGTTGCAAGCCAGGTCCCTAGTTAGGGGACCCATGAGAGGGAACTACACATTGATGTTTTACTCCCTCTCTTTCTCTCTCCATTTCTCTTTGTCTAAAAATAAATAAAATCTTTTAAAAAAAGAAGCAAATCAAGAGTATCACTGGCTATATTATTTAAAGTGAACTAACTGAGCTTAATCTGTTAGAGCTCTTTAGAATAGAAAGAACACCCGCACATCTCTTCCTCTCTTTTGCTGGGCTTCTTAAAGCCTGGTATTGACTTAAGTTGGAAACCTAGAGAGAGAGAAGATTCTTCTCTTTATTTTCTATCCAGTTTGAGTAATTGGAGGTTGTCTGAGGTCTAGCCCTGCTTCTAATTTTCATAAGTAACACACATCTGTTAAAGATCTAGCATGACTCTCAGCAGCTGAGCACTTATGCCCATTTTTCTCTGTGTAGGTAATTCTGTTACCTACTTTCTGCAGAAAGTAGAATTGAGATGACTTACCCCAAATTGTGGTTAATCCCAAATCACAAAATGTGACTTCATAAGTATAACATGTTTTACCAGCAAGGTAATATTCCTAATTATGTCCTATTTAAGCTAATTGGAGAGTAAGTACTAGTAGCCTATGGTAGGGGAGAAGCACACCTGGGTTTATCATTTGGACATCAGGAATTCACAAAGTTCAGGAGTCCCACAAGGGCTGTCAAGAGTTGATTGTACTCATGCCCCTGCAGGCTGTTGTCATCTAAACATCATGAAAGGCAGTGAACACCAAACTGAGCTACAGATATGTAACAGATGTCCCAGCCTGAATTAGCCTGTGGTGAACAGTACAGAATGAGCCTAGCATCTCTACTTGTGGTCATTTTCGGTAGCACTCTGCAAAGCCCTGGCTAGAGATGCAGTGATAGGACTGCAGGCAAAACCTTCATCCGACACTTGATTAGAGAAGTGGCGATGTAAGGGCTTGACCCTAGTAACACAGGGACACAGAAAAGCTGATGGATTCTCTGAAAGATACATGTTAAATCAATAGCACTATGTCCCTTTATGTAAAATCACTATTTGTTATACTACCAGTTTCACTGTGACCAGATATTTTTTGATTGATTGAACACAAAAATATGACATTCATAAATAATCACAGCATTATTACAAAAACATGCTTTAGAGTTTTTGTAAAATAACTCCTTGGGAGAAATAATTCACATTGAGCATGATAAATAAAAGGAAGATTGATATATGTATTTAAAATTTGCAGAGTAGTGTAGGTTTTATACTTAGGTTTCCTTGAAATAAGTAGATAATATCCTTCCAGAATACTTAGTTACTCCTAAAATATAAATGAATTCTTCAGGAATTATATACATTCTTCAAAATATCACTTAATGAATTATCGGTTCTCTATGAGGGACATCAGCCGACTGTCAGACTGAGCTTGCTTTGCAAAGATCCCTTTTAGATTCTTGATACTATCTGGCTTAGAATTTTTTTGGTTACTTGTAAATTTTCCTTATCGCTTTGCTTATTAAAGATCAGTAGCAGATTGATTATTTACTAATTGAGATTTAGCAGATCAATTATATACTATGTCAGATTTTAAATAAGTTCTGACCAAACTGCCGAAATATTTATTTAGAGAACGTCTACCTATATATGTTTACTTTTGCACACATGAGGACTCCAAGTTCAAACTAGAAACCAGTAGCAACATGGAGGAGACTAATGAGGGCCGAGGGCTGGAAAAGATGACTTTGAGTCAACTGTTAATAGAGGTTTGAATTTTGAATCATGTGTTCACTTTACATTAAAAAAAATCAATGAGTAAACCAAAAGAAAAATGTCAGCCCCTCAAATTGGAAGCAAATGGAAATAAATGGACCTAACAGCATATGAAATTAATTATATAACCACGCAAGACAGAAATATTGCAAGTGACATTGGAGTGCTTACACTGCCTGTACTTCCTTAGTCAGATGTCCTGAGGACAAAAAGGACTCCAAAGAAACGTGAAACTTTACTCAGGACTTTTATTATTGGTAACAATTTTGGTATTGTTGTTTTGAAACATTTATATATAGGAGGATTTAGCAAAAAAAAACAACTAAAGACTTTAATATTATTAAAAATAGAAGCCTAGAGAAAAGTTTATACATTTTTTCTTTATAAAAATAACTTCTAAAATTTGTATTTTTAAGTTGTTTCCTCTTTCATGTTTCAGGTTAGTTTTAAAAAGCTATTTAATGAAGATATTTCCAGTATTCTCTATAACTGTGACTATTGTCACTTCAGAAATAAGAAACATTTTAAATGCCTTTGGATAATTATTTATAGTAATTGCAGTTCTCTCTGCATTTTTGCAGTCTTGTACTACAACATGAGTTTGGATGTGAACAGAAAGGCAGAGTCTCCATCGAGGTTTTACTTTTCTTCCAATGGAACTCCTGATGTGGTCACAGGAAGCATGCAAGTATCCAGCACAGAAGCTAGCTGTAGAACACATGAAGCATTTATGCGGGTAATGGAAACTAGTTTTTATTAATGAATGTGTGAACTTCAATATTGTCAGTATGGTAAAAGTATAAGTGCATTGGCATCTTTTTATAAAATATTGCTAAAAGCAAGTGTTACCCCCTCCTGAACTAGCTGACCTGTTGCACCAGAGTCAAACCATTCACTAGCCTATAACCTGGATAATTCAAAAGTCTGCAGTTTGCATCTTCTTTGTTCCACATTTATTGCATTTTACTGCATCACTAATTTAAGAGATTTGCATTTTCCTTTCTATACTTGTCTAGAAATGTACATATTGCATGGCTCTGCTGAGCCTCAGATCCTTTCCTGAGTAGGAATTTGTAGGGGGAGTGTGGGGAAGGGGAGGCAGGAGGTGGAGAAGCGAGTATGTTTTCCATGTGACTCTAACAAAGCAGAATTCGACATGCCTGCTTTTGGATTGTGCCATTGTCTCCGCGCCAGCATTGTCAGTGATGTCAGTGGGAACTCGCACAGTCGCAGGGGTTGGGATCAGCTGCGGGCCAGGACGCCGGCTTTCATGATACTCCGGGGAACGTCCTGCCAAAGCGCAGCCGATTTCATGTTTCTTTTATTAAAACACTCATTCCCAGAGTAATCATCACGTTCCTTGAGTTGGTCAGATTTTATCATGTGATGCAGTGCCAGGTCTTTTTCATGAGGGAATGGTGTACTTCATCAGAAAATCTATTGCCGCGAATTAGCCAAACTATTCCCAGGAGCCCTCTCTGGGATTTAAAATAGTAGCCTCTGCTTAGAACTTAATTTTCCCTTAGACACTTATTCCAAGCAAAGGCAAACAAGCATTAGGACTCCAGAACACTGTGAAATGTTACGAGCACTGATCCCGGTGTGATTTCTTCATTTCCCTTAACCGTTTTTATCGTTGTGCTAGAATAAAGCTATCAGATGGTTGAGAGCCAAAAGTGTAGAATGATATTAATGTAACCATCATTTACATGGTAGAGATTAAAGAGGTTCTTTTTCTTGTAAATTCTACATAGTTGTGATAGTTAATTTGAGAGACTAACACTGAGACCATTTTAAAGGCAATAAAAGGGCCGAGATTAGACATTCACAAAGAAATATAGATTGTGTTGAATTTGTATAAGTAGCAGTAAATTGCTCTGATTTCTTTAGGCCTGTGTTTCCTGGCACTGTTCCCATGAGTAAGTATTCATCAACATCAAGATCGTACACTTCCTTCAGAATAAATTTGTAGTGGAAGTGACATTTTAGCCGAGGTTTCTGTTTTTGTTGCTTATATACTTGTAAGTGTTACCATGGTACCAGTGGCAGCAGGTTACAAACCACTGACTTTGGGCCGTATTGTCAGTGTCGAACAGAAACACTTAGCTCTGGGGTTGGTACATAGTGAGGATTTAAGAAAAGAAACATGACTATTTCTTCCCATGTTTTTTCCCCCTTCCTAAATCATCTGGCTTTTGTTGGGGGCATTTTAAAACTCAGAAAGAGGAAGGTGAAGGGCTACTGCAGCCCCCTCACAGCAAACCCAGGGAGCAGGTAAGGACCACAGAAGCAGCTCCCCCAACCTTGAGTCCTAGCCAGGAGTGCTAGCTGTTATTTATGAAAGTATGGGAGTGCAGCGAGTGCATTTTCCACCCCCACCAGCGCATACCTGAGGAGAGGCTTTCAGAAACATTTACACTGCTGTGCTTTGATTGTCTTAAAGAATAGAACAGCTACCTGAATTCTGCTATCTTCTTAACTGACAGAGAAAAAGAAGATGGACTCTGGTCAGGAAGACTGGATTGTTCCTTTGTTCTATAAAATGTGTCCAATGTCAGCAGTGTTAATATACAGATGCATTCTACCTTGACACCCATTACAATGAAATGAAGTGTTGCTTGTTAATTATCTCAGGCCTGCAGACCCCTCCCTCAGAGGCTGGCTGGCCTGCTAGTTCAGCACACTTTCCTCGTGCAGTCGTTTGCATTGACTATACCGATCAGCTCCAGTAACCACTCAGTTGCTTTAGTACATATTTATTGAATTATAAATTTGTGTCAGTTTCTGTTTGAAACACTTGTGATCACCGAATGATACATAAAATGATCACTGTCCTCATGGAGCTTATATTCTTAATGAGGGTGAGACAGACAATAACATGATCAAAATGTAAATTGTATACTATTTTAGAAAAAGATATGGGTGATGGGAAAAGGAAAAAAGAGCAGAGTTAAAACAAATTATGGAGTTCTATGGAAAGAGTGAAGAATACAATTTTAAATAGGCCTCATTCAGAAGGTGACATTTGAGCAACGACTTGAGGGAAGTGAGGAAGTTACCGTACAGACCTCTAGGACAGTGGTTCTCAGCGTTTGCATGTAACAACAGCATCACCTGGAAAGTGCGTGAAAACACAACTTGCTAGATTCAGTAGGTCGTCAATGAGGCCTGAGACTGCATTTCTACAAAGTTTCCAGGTGATGCTGATGATGCTGACTTGGGAGTCAGACTTTGAGGACCCCTGATCTAGGAGAAGAACATTACAGAAAGGAGAGCTAGGTAAAAATGCCTCAAGACAGAAATGCTCCTGGTTGTTGTAGGGAACAATTGGGAGGCGGGGATGGCTGGAAAAGTGAGCGACGGGAAGAGTAGTGGAAAAAGACATCATGCGGGACCTGGACTTTTTATCTGAATGAAATGAGGATCTAGTGGATTCAGCAATAAAAAGGAATTCACTGACTGCTATGTTACACTAGATAGTAAGGTATCAAGAGCTGACACGGGGAGAAGAGGATTCAGTAATAACCCAGAGGATACAGTGTGAGGTGATGGCTTCATCAAAGGTGGTGGCAATGGATATGGCAAGAGAGAGTCGAAGAAAGAGCCCACACAATTTGCATGCAGATGGGATGCCTGGCATTTGAGAAGGATGCTCTGAGGTGACTTGAAGGTCTTTAGCCCACGCAACTGGAATAATGTCGTTTTTATCACTTGAGAAAATAATACGAGGAAAACAATTTTGAGGTGGAAAATTCTGGAGTTCAGTGTGGACCTGCTGAGCTAGAGATACGTGTTTTGCTTTTGAGTGTAAATATCAATGGAACGTGTATGTACTCATCTGGAGTTGGGGAGAGTCATAGAACTGGAAATATAGTTTAATGCAGCTTTGGCATAAAGGTAGTTTTTAAAGCCCTGTGGATGGCTGAGATCACCCCAGGAGGAGAGGGTGAAGGTCTGCACACTGGGACGCTACAGCAGGAAGTTAAAAACTCAAATTTCATTATAAAAGTTGGGCTTTATTAAATCTTTTTCTTTTAATCACACATTCTCTAGTTTCATATATTGGATCTTGGTCTATATCAGAGACATTTTAAACAACCTAATAAGCATCTATCACTAGCATGAATATTTTCTGGTGTGTTATTTTTCTGAGACTATACAGCCATTTATCTGGTTGGTAAGCACATCAGTTTCCCAGATCTACTTAATCTAATCATTAAAGCAGTTATCACATAGGATTATTGTTTCATGGGAATGGTCAAAATTTGTTCTTCAAAAAATAGAAAGGAAGCCAGAACTTGTTTTTTTTTACAGAACTCCATTTTATTTTAGTTGCTTATAATGATGCCAAACTTTATTTTTTTTGCTATTAGATCAGTAAAATTAATAGATTTTTCTAAAACAGAACCTAGAATTTAAAGTTGAGTTTATATAAAAGATTTCTGTGATCTAAGAGAAATGATTTGTTTTTGTACCTTTTACCGTTTTATCTACTGAAATTCTCTTCTACTAGACATCACTTTTCCGTCAGTGAAAGTGTTTTCCCATCCATGCAAGTGTATGAGAATGAATTTTTGTCCTTGTTGTGTTCAAATACACAACTTTGTTAGATCTTAGAGGTTTCCTTGGACAGCATCTTAGGACCAGGGATAATTTTGAGGCTGTTTTGATTTAGAGAAACCCAGCTGGCAGTTGGCAGCAGTTTTTGGAAACATTGGAGCAGCCATGGCAGTGAGATGTCCCTCAAGGTTTCTCTAGGTGCCGTTTCTTGGATGAACTTGATGGAATCTCTGCATTAAAATAATTCACTGATGGTTGAGAAGAGAAACGGTGCTATAGTGGGGTAACAAATGAAGTGACAGGATTCCCTTTCTGCCTACAGTATTTTCAATGAAATCTAGAAGTATCTAGCTTAGTCATCAAACCAGGAAAGCCTATTGGTATTTAGAGGTCCAATGAGTACAGTGGCCTTATTAGCATGTTGCATAATAACCATGAAATCAACCTGCCTACCTACTTAGTGAATTAGTTCATTCTTTTCTTTCCCTTGGTTTTCCTAGTTTCTGGAATTTAAATTTCTGAAATAAAGGAATTTAATTTTGTTATATAGCTCTTTGGATGAGTTCTAAAAGACATCTTTTTCAGTAATAACATCAAGAGAATGAATATTTGATTAGTAAATACATTTTATTTGTATTTTTATTATATTTTATATATTTAATTTGCTTATATAAGCACATAGTTTAGTAAAGTGCCATTTGCTCCAAAACAGTTATATTTGAATCACAGCACACTATGGACCAATCTATATATGTTGCAAGTTTAAGTACAAGTAAACTATATAACTATACCGACAGTATGGTATTCTAGAAGTTAATTGATTACCCCAACATATGTTCATTCTTTGTTAGATTGCAAGGTCTTTGAAGGCAGGCTATTTTCTTTTGCACATTTGTATTATTCTTAGAATTGACACATTACATGAGACAGAAAATTGATGAATATTTCATCAATTTATGGATAACGTCTTGTTGATGCTATTTAAAGAACTATGTCAGGGAAAATCTGAACTTGTTCTGTTGGTATAGTGGGTAGGGCACCTGCCATGGGGTGTTGTGTTTTCTCAGGAAACTTTAGTGCTAGGTTGTTGATAGTTCTCCACCTTCTGACCCAAGCTTACTAGATACAGTGATTATAATTGCACATGGTCAAGGTCATGCTACTTTAGGTTCCAGTCTATGACTCACACCTTCTCCCTCCCCAGCCCATTCCCCACATTGGTACTAGAGGGGCATTTCAAAGAACTCAAACCTGATCATATTTCATGCTCAAAATTCTTCTGTGTAAGAACCTTCCCATCCCCCTCCTTCTTCTGTGTGTGTGCATATATCACACACTCATCTCCCAACACTATGTGTGTGGATTTATGGGCTATAGACTGTGACTTAGGTACTGACTTTCAGTTTTGTGTCCCCAAAGCCTGTCTCATACACAGCAGATCCATGAATAGATACTATCCAATGTTTATACTTCAATATCATTTTTTATTTATTAATATTTTACAAATATTTCTGGCTCCACCCTTTAAATTCCTTCACTACATAAGTACAATAGGAGGCATGAGCCTATAGCTTAGTTCTGAAGTTGGCCATAAATACAAATTTTCATGAAAGTCAGACAAGAAGGCAGACTTTGTGTAATTTCAGGCATGTGCTTATTTGCATGCTGTGGGTGTTCTCTGTGATGTAATTGTCCATAAAAATGTGACATGGGATCTTTGTTATTTTTAATGTAAATAGCACATGCCCATACAAATTAAAAATTTTAAGCAAATCTACTTTTTTCCTCCCAAATACTTAATTAGTCACTTTAAGACATTTTTTGATATTCTAGCATTTGTCCTTAGGTGGAGCTGTTAAAGTTAAATAAGTGTGAATATCTGTCAAGTACAGTGCTTGCAAAAGCGCACGTACATTCTATATACTGTGAGAAAAGCATAATTAATAGCTAATTAGGATAATGAAAGTAATATACACCAGATGTAGAAAAGACCTTGTGGAAAATTAGTATGAATTAGATAACATGTGATTTGGTCAAAGCAAGCTTGTTGAGAAGAATTAAAACAGTGGACATGTGGAGGGACGATCAGTGGCTGTCTAGCTCCTACACCTAGGGGATAATTTAATCAAGTTTGCTATTGTAATACTCAGGGCTTCAAGCTGTTCCATTTTCACGAGTTGATAATGTGGGATTTGGGCCTTGATTTGCAGCATTCCTATATGGTCAAGTTTTTGTATTGAGATGATCACTTATCAAGTAATTTAATACAATCATCTCCACGTATAAGATTGGAAAAGTAATGAGATCTTGAGTACTGTGACTCATGCTCCAAATCTTCTAGGAACCACTTAATACAAGTCTAATACTTGTTATGTAACTCATTTTAATGTTCTTGGCAGTGGTCTAATTTTCTTTCTTTAAAATTCTTTCCAAATGTTTACCAGAATTTCTTATTATAAGACACTGAAATTCAGGAATTCCTTGTTGGCTTATATAGCCACATTTTGAAAGTAACATGCACATGATAATGTCTTACATCTATTGAGACCTCAATAAGTGGCAGATATTGTGCTAAGTGTTTTATGTACATTGTACCATTGAATCTTCACAATAATACAGTGTAGGTATCGTCATTATCATTATTCTCATGATCATTATTCTGCCTTTCACATGAAGTAGCTGAACACAGATAGATTAAGCAATTTGCCAAAGGTTACAGAGGTAGTAGGTGATGAACCTGAGATTTGAACTTCAAACCACTTGCTTGGAGTCTCCCTCCAAACCACTTGCTTTTCACCTCTGCAGATATGTATTGATAATGTTGTGACTGATGAGAAAGAAGAAATATTACATCTATTTTTATAATTATGTAAAGGCATAGAATAGATGTAGTCTCTTATGTGACATATGCCATAATGTCACATATGCCTTTATTTTACTTCATTGATGGTATCAGGTTACTGTAGCTGTAGGTAGCACAGCAATAATCTGTATGGAGGTACTTTTTCTATCCATTAGAGATTATTAATTTTGTTTTTTTTCCCTTTTACACAGTAATGTTTAAGCCATATTCCAACCCTGAGGTGTCTGTAGGTAAATAGAAACCTGGCCCACTGACATTACTAGTAGGACGTCTGTCAATTACAGATAAAAATTAAAGGAGGAAAAATTGGGATAATTGTAATAGAATAAAGAAGAATAAAAAGAAAAAAATTATTAAGATGTTAAATTTAAAAGAATGTCATACTGAGTGTGATGGATTCTGAATGGGCTACAATTTCTGTGTAATTAATAAATAAATCCAAGAACTCTTTTTTTGTGAAGTATAAAAATAATAAACCTAGAAAAAAGTTATAAAACAACCAGTAAGAAGATCCAGTAAATAAATTTTATCCTATTTAGGATAAAATATTAAATATACAAAACAAATAACTTTGCTATATTATCATTTATAACCTGTTAGGAAAGATAATTGGAAAAGGTCCATAAAGGATATGTTTTATAATATGCATAAAATCAAATGAATCAAATCATATCAAAATGTAATAAAAGATTGACTATGGTTGGAGACAGGGGAGAGCAACAGGGAAAAAGGTGGGACAACTAACTGAACAACAATAATAAAAAAATAAATTTGAATAAATGGAGAAATTATATTTCTATAAGTCTACTAGAGGGAAATGTTAAATAGAATAAAATGTTCACTAGTACTTTGAAATAATTTACAAGGAATTTATAGTGAAAAATGCTTTTGTTATAATTTCAAGTTATAAAAAAAAGTATGCACAGAACATACCATAGAAGAAAATATACCTAATAGTAGACCTTTTTGTACTATTGGATGGTTATGGTTTTTCATTTTTATGCTATTTTTGTGTTGTTTCCTAAGAACATGAACATTTTCATAATGTGAAAAAACATATACATTTATTTAATAAAAATAATTTAGATGAAAAGGTAAGATTTCTTTGACTTCCATGTGTGTTGTGTTGGGCCTTATGCAGGAAAGGAGGAGCTCTCTATATTTTTAAACTTACATGCTGCTTTTTGTTTTTAATTCATATGGTTTTAAATTTCCTTAGAAAGATGTGCGAGACATCCTCACACCGATCCAGATTGAAGCTGCTTACCACCTTGGGCATCATTATATCAACAGACGAACAGTAGAGGAATTCCCACCACTTCAGCCAATTCTTCAGCAGAAGAAAGAAAAAAACAGAATTGAAAAAACAGTAGGAATATTTTCTTTTATTCAGAAATTGTGACATGTAACTACAAAATTGTTTTTTGAGATATTGCATAGTTCTGGGGAAATGAACTCTAATTTATTTTTAATTTTATGAATTTTAATATAATAGATTTATGGTATCTTGTTTTTTATTTGTATTCTCTTTAGGATAGTGAGCTGAATATTAAAAAATATGCATGTAGTCAAAGCAGTGGTTTCTAACACAACACGTTATTTTTTTTCTTTTTTTTAAGATTTATTTATTTATTTTTAGAGAGGGAAGGGGGGGAGAAAGAGAGAGAGAGAGAGAGAGAAACATGAATGTGTGGTTGCTGGGGGCCGTGGCCTGCAACCCTGGCATGTGACCTGGCTGGGAATTGAACCTGTGATGCTTTGGTTCGCAGCCCACGCTCAATCCACTGAGCTACGCCAGCCGGGGCTAATTTTTTTCTTGATGCCCTGTAGGTGAGGAAAGTACATTGCTAGAAAGCACTCATAATGGGAGTGAGTTGCATTCATGAGTCAGTTACTCAGGGTCGTCATGTGTGTTCAGTGTGTCTTTCTCTTTATCATTTTCTGTCTCATTTTTGTGTCCCTCTCTCTTACTCTCCCCACTCATGATTCACTCATGTCTTATTAGTCAAATTCCTTTGCTGGGTTTTACTCATTTATAAACATGTATTTATGTTGCATAACAGTTTCTCTTTTTAAATTTAGCTGCTTCCCAACCTCATGCCAGGACTAAGTGCATTTTGAGATGGGTGCTGCATTCTAACCATGAACTGCTTTGTCCAGTTTATCCCAAAATATATCAGTTTCCTTGACAGTGTGTTTATTTCTGGGGGTCCAGTTGTTCAGAACTTTGCTGTCCAACAACACAGAGACATGGTCAACAGAATGTTTTGGGGTATGTTAAAAGCATTCATTAAAATGTTTGCTGGTGGCACACAGAGTGTGAAAGATAAAAGGGACATTTAAAGGTCTAGTTCATATCCTGTCCCAAATAAACTGCCCCTAAGTCACTTTAAGATATTTGAACTTACAATCAACACTGTCTAGTCTACAACATTGGGTTGAATAGAGATAACTTAGGAGCAAATTTTCTTTATTCCCACATATAAAAATATTTCTGGAAGCCAGTATTTTTCATCCTTCCATTTAACTTAACTTTTCAATATCAACTATTTTTAATGCCTTTATTATAAGTACACAAACCAAAACCTAAGCAATTGGCAGTTATATTAGAATAATTCACATTTTGACTCTTAGACCAACCTGTTCTACAGGTAAGAGTGGTAGAAAAGTTCCTATCTACCTCATCATTTAGAAGAAGATTTCCGCTTTCCTTCTGCTCCCCCCTGTATAGGCAGTCTGATCCGACGAGCAGCGTGCCAACCTGCAGTTGTTTGCCCTTTTACGTACCTGACTCCTTCTCCGCCTCTCAAGATTCCTTTCTTTCCTGCATCTCATCTTTCTTCACCTTTACCACTTACTTTTCTTTTTCTCTTCTCTTTCCATTTTTTTTCTTTGCCCAGCTTCTAACTCAGGTCTTCTTATACATCTTGTAGTATATCTGGGTTCTGTTAAAATGCTCAGAGGTAAATACATTTTCGAACCTCTATGATAGTCTATCATTTCATTTTCTTTGATGTGTTGTTTCTGAAGTGACATTTCTGAATTTCTGCAATGTGTTGTTTTCAACAAAGACTGCTAGAAGACTGCTGTCTTACTCTCTGCAAAATAAAGAGCTGTGCTTATGTGGAATAAGTGGAATCAGAGTAGCAGAAAATGGAGAGGAACTGGGCAAAGAGCGTCCTGGCAGCACGAGATTTAAATACTTAAATAGGTCACTATCATAGTTGCTTAACATTGTTTTACAACTATTTTGGAAGAGAAAAAATCATTTTTTCACCTGACAAATTTAGGCTTTAAATATGCTTATTGGAAGAAATTAGTACTTTTAGCCCTGTAATTATTTGTCATTTAAGCCTACTAACTCACTCTCACACTGAATTCTTCAAAAAGGGATAAAACAAGAAATTATCAATTTGATTTATTTTTATTTTTCTCATGTATCAAGATGTCATAGTCTTTAAAAAACAGAAATACACCTACTGATTGAACTAAAAATAAAACACTGTCATATTTTATTTCCAGATACCCTTTGCAAGGTTTTGTGCCCATGAAAACTGTTCCGCTGATCTACAAGTTTCTGCGAAATTTGGATTTTTGAAGTAAGTGTAGTTCACTATTTGTTATTTATCAACCTGGGATAATGGGTGTGCAGGTGGGTTTCAGAGAGAAAAAGACTAAGAACTGACACTTGGGGGTTAGCAGCATTTAAAGAACTGAAAATGGATGACATTCTCCTGAGAGACATTAAGTTCATCAGTCATATAATATGCACTTACAGATTGCCACTTTTTGAAGGAAGGAGAATATGAGCTACAATGCTTTATGAAGCACGTTTTATTCTTTCGGCGGTAGCTGAGAAGATATTTCAGTCTTTAACAGTGGCCTTGGCCATCGTTGTTAGACCTGTAGTTGTGTTTCAGACATTTGTCAGCGCCTCTTAATAGAGTTTGCATGGCAAAGTCAGCTAGCCTTCACTACATCACGTCTAGTTTGTCACCAAGAAAAATGGTCACATCATTCAGACTGATGTCAAAAATGAAGAGATTCCTCAGCATTCATGACATATTTGAAAGAGAATAAACTACTTTGTTCTTCCTAATTCACAGGAGGGGAAACAGTAAAAAGAAAATGTATGTGACATGCTTAGAAAATTGCCTAGCATATAGTGAACACTAGATAAATGTTGACTGCTCTTGTTATTTTTTTATGGGAAATAAACCGTGGTAATTTTGGCATATCTAGATCCCCTAGATTGAAATCGTTTTGCATATCAGAGGGAAGGTGTGGACATGAAGAAGACTAGAGGGATGGAATGCACAGTTCAGGTTGAGGGATGACTGTGTGTGGGAAATGGAAGAGGAGAAGGAGGCATCAGTGGTGGGGCAGGAAAATGGGAAACCATATTGCAAGTAAGTCTGTAAAGGAAGCAAGTTTAAATTGGGGCATGTTGAATTCGGTGGGACTTCTGTATGCCTCTCTTCGATTGAAAATCTAGTTCAGGATTACTGTGGAATCCCTGTATGGTAAAATGTGCATTTCACAGAGAAAAGAACTGAAGATTAACATGTGGGGGGATTGTTTTATTTGAAGAGCTTAAAAACAGGGAGTCGCTGTAGGAGACTGAAAAGAACCTCTTGGAGAACTGAGTGCATTGTGAAATGGCCAATATAAAAAAGAGAGACTTCATATTGTAAGACTTTGTAGGGAAATGAGATGGCGTAATGACTGAGGAAAGGTCATGGGAGTTGGCATTTAAAATGTGATTTGTGGGTAACAAAAGGATGTCAGTGGCCAATTTTAAGATAGAAATTTCAGTGCAGTAGTAGCCGAATGACAGTGTAAGTGCTTAAGGGAAGAAGATATACTGGAAACGTGGATTTATCACATGTTATTTATTTAATAATGCAAAAGCAGGAAAAAGAATGAGTTGGAGAGAAAATCTTTCTACTTATATCCAGGCGGCATGTTTCATCCCTCTTTGAACCATCCTCTGAAGCAGTTGACAGCTTCTCACTCCCTCTTTCGGATGTCTTTTGCTTTGATATTCATCATCCTACCCCTTTGTCTTTCTGCAGCCCCTCTTGCTCAGTTATCTTTGGAGGATCCTTGATTTTGGCTCTGTCGATGCCCCAAAAGGTTTTCTCATGCCTTTCTCACACTCCCATATTTTGGGGGATAATTTTGCCTACTACTGTGACCTCACCTGGCCTGCCTATACTGCCAGTGCCCAAAGCAGTATCTCTGAGTTCCACATCCACACATCCTGATGTCTGTTGGACCTGTCCTCTTGGCGCCCAGTCACTCTCCACCAATGATATCATGACGATTAGTTACCAAAACCAACAACCTGGAGCTCAGTCTGCATTCTTCAGCCTTTCTTTTTGTTTTTTTTCTTATTTTTATTTGTTTTTTTAAAGTGTATCATTATGTTTTTACAGTTTTCTCATTTTCCCCCTTTATCCCCCCTCCACCCTGCCTCCTCAACCCTCCAGCATTCCTCCCCCCTCTTAGTTCAAGTCCATGGGTTGTACATATAAGTTCTTTGAGTTCTCTGTTTCCTAAAACATTTTTGACCCCTCTCCATCTATTTTATGCCTACCAGTTATGCTTCTTCTTCCCTGTACCTTCCCCCCCTATTCCTCCCTTCTCCCTCTGAAAACCCTCCATGTGATGTCCACTTCTCTGATTGTGTTCCTGTTCTGGTTATTCGCTTAGTTTTTGATTTTGTTGTTTTTCTTTATTTTTTTAGGTTCATTTGTTGATAGTTGTGAGTTTGTTGTCATTTTACTGTTCATATTTTTGATCTTCTTTTTCTTAGATAAGTCCCTTTAACATTTCATATAATAAGGGCTTGGTGATGATGAACTCCTTTAACTTGACCTTATCTGGGAAGCACTTTATCTGTCCTCCCATTCTAAATGAAAGCTTTGCTGGATAGAGTCATCTTGGATTGGTCCTTGCCTTTCATGACTTCAAATACTTCTTTCCAGCCCCTTCTTGCCTGAAAGGTTTCTTTTCAGAAATCAGCTGATAGTCTTATGGGCACTCCTTTGTAGGTAACTGTCTCCTTTCTCCTTGCTGCTTTAAAGATTCTCTTTGTCTTTAATCTTGGGTAACTTAATGATGAGGTGCCTTGATGTGTTCCTCTTTGGGTCCAACTTCTTTGGGACTCTCTGGGCTTCCTGGACTTCCTGGAAGTCTATTTCCTTTGCCAGATTGGGGAAGTTTTCCTTCATTATTTGTTCAAATAAGTTTTCAATTTCTTGCTGTTGTGCTCCTTCTGGCACCCCTATGATTTGGATGTTGGAGTGTTTCAAGCTGTCTCAGGGGTTTCTCAGCCTCTCCTCATTTTTTTTAAATTCTTGTTTCTTCATTCTGTTCTGGTTGGATGTTTATTTCTTTCTTTTGTTCCAAATCGTTGATTTGAGTCCTGGCTTCCTTCCTGTCACTGTTGGTTCCCTGAGTATTTTGCTTTATTTCATTTTGGGTATCTTTTGTGTGTTCTTTCATTTTTTTGACCAAGCTCAGTTAGTTCTGTGAGCATTTTGATTACCAGGGCTTTAAATTCTCCATCAGATAGGTTGGCTGTCTTCTCATCGCTTAGCTTTTTTCCTGGAGTTTTGCTCCATTCTTTCATTTGGGCCATATTTCTTTGTCTTGGTGCACCTGTTAAGTTGTAAGCGGGTGGGGCCTTAGGTATTCACCAGAGCAGGGCAACCCTCTTTGCTGCGCTGCATTGCTGCCTGTGGGGGAGGGGCCAGAGAGGGAACAGTGCAGCTTGCCTGCTCATCTCTAGCCCACTTTACAACGGACTCTCGTGTGAGACTAGGAGTTTCTCCCACCACTGCAACCACCTAGTCCACAGTCAACTCTGAATCTGAGTTTCCCATTTAGCCATCTCCACCTGCATGGTCAGCTGCCACGCCTCAGGTTCTCTCCAGTCTGCTGCCTTACTGGTCTGGTAGTTCTGGTTGACTGTTTCTTTAATTCCTTGGTTGTCAGAATTCCATGCAGTTTGATTTTCTGGCACTTCTAGTTGTTTATTGAGTTTAGATTGGTTGTTATCCTCCTTTTGGCTGTGCAAAGAAGCAAAGCGTTTCTACCTCTGCTTCCATCTTGGCCGGAACTCACTCTCCTGCCTTTCTTATCCCTGACATTCAGTAAATCACTAAATTCTACAATATTACCACCTAAATATATATATATATTTGTCCACCATAATTCTCTATCTCTACCACTATTAATCTAAACCACGTACTCATTATGCTACATAGGTCACCAGGCTTTTCAGCTTTCTGGGCTACTGCCCTCTTTCTTTGCATTCTAATTCCTCTACTATAATGGTCCAGAGACAGTTCTCTCACATCCTCCTCTGATAACAGCACTTCAATGGCTCATTATAACCTAAAACTCTGAACTCCTTAGCATCCTTTCTCACTAATTCCATTGATGGCAGACTGCTTACAGTTGCTTGGCCACACCATGCTTTCCTAAGCTTCTCTATTGTTTCACTTCTTGATTTCACTTCTCCAACTTATCTACTTGATTAGCTTTTATTTATCTTGTAAATGTCAGCTGTTTCCTAGGTGAAGTCCCTTTGGTCTCCAGGTATGTAACCCTTTGTCCTCCTGTACCCCTCGGCCCAGTACACTTGTACTCACTACCATTTTCACCTGTCTCCATACCACCTGGTGAGCTTCTTCAAGGCAGGGCCCTGTCTTTTCATTTTTGTGTTGCCAATGCCTAAAACAATGTTTGCAACACTGTGAGTGACGAATGGGTGTCTGCTGAGGCTGGAACAAGGTTCTAAAGAAAACAGCATATCATGGGATCAGACTCAGGTGGAGGAGTTAGCCTTAGAAAGAAACTAAAATGGTCCTGCATCTTGAGCTAAGCAGCTATGAAAAGATGTTTGACATTGGTTAGGAAACCAATGTGTGATTTTTCAACCACACATTGTGGAAGGAAATTAAATGTAGAGAATTCATGGATAGCCAGGATATAAAAGCAAGTTCATATTTGGAAAGCAAGGGCCTTTAGGATGAGTTTGGGAACTTGAAAGGCATGGGCAAAGATTCATAATAGTTGTTATGATGCATGGGATAGGAAGTCAACTAGGAACGAGTGAAAAGGTTAACAAACAGTGCTGAGTACCCCGCTGGGTGGAGCCACATATGGCAGAGAATAAATTAATTCTTTTTGCTTAGGCAATGCCAGCATAGCCTTGAGCATCCACTGTTGAGGGCCAAGAAGCCCTAACCTATTTGATAAATAATTGGATTTTAGACTTAAATTATCCAGATTGGCTGCTCAGCTAGTCCAAAAACAGTGACTGCTAACAATTTTGTATCCCAGCCAGTAATGTAATGCCTTTGTTGCTGTGTTAGTTGCAAAGTTTATAACCTTCCCATTTGTGTATTTATTTTCTTTCTAAAATGCTTAGTTTTCCCTGTGGTTTTGCTGCCTTGGGCCTTTGATATGCAGAGGTTTGTGAGGGAAAGCTTATGTAAGTTACAAATAAGTAGTGTTCTTATTTTCTTACATCAGAAATCCCCACTGTCACTGCAGTCCCTCTGGCCTGTGAGAAAACAGAACATCA